AAAAAAGAAAAAAGGGGAGGGGGGAAGGGCCAAGACAAAATATCTAGAGAGTGATTCGGGTAAAGAAAATACACTATGCAGATAAAAAAGGATTTGGCTTTGAAGCTTTAATGATAAAGGTGTTTACATCCAGGTCCAAGGTCAATGAATCATTGCCTTCCCTTCTCTTGGCCTGTATTGGCCAAAAAGCTAACCTGCATTCCAGCCTCGGATGAAGTGAATTATATAGAACCTGAAATTCCTTTTTCTAAGAAATCTTGGGAGATGAGAGCCAAGTGGGTAGGAGTCTATCATCGAAGACCATCCTTTTCCCATAAACACAAACATGTCCAAAGGAGGAAAAGTTAAAAAGAACAAGTTGAACTACTACAGTTCAAGACTAGAACATCAGTCTTTGAACTGCTACTAGCACATTTCATTAGCACTATAGTCACTTTATTTAAAGGAGAGAAAACCCTCAATTCTCAAGTGGTGTAGGAGACTTTGGAAATGCTATCAGTCTTTTCCACTAGCACTTTATTCACTTTATTTAGGGAAAAATCATTTTTTAACAAAAAAATTAAAGCAGCCCTTTTACTCATTACTGGACTAAATACAGAATGTCTTAAGTCTATATGAATCATGTAACAAAGGTGTTAGGCCTCCATCAGAAACTAAAGACAACACCATATGTTTGTTTGAAGACATTTTGCTCTCACTCAAACAAAAATCTGTAGATTCCAAACTGGCCTTCTTATGCAAAGTATATGGAATCCCTCTGAGACAAAGAAATTACTGGGCTATTTGCCCAACCGCTGCTAGATCCTTGAACTTTGGGCACAGGCCACTGTATTTAATTTGTGGGCCCCCTGGGAGCTGCCAGGTCAAGTTGACAGTATCCATAAACAATGGAATCATCTCTTTGAAATATAAAGGGAGACAGTTACTGAAATCTCTCAGACTATTTCAAACTCAGAGTCCCTCATGGAAAGTCAATTGAGTGGAGGCATTAAACCAGTGAAAAGAACCTGAATTTTAGTACTATCACTAATAGGCTGAGTGACCTTAGATACATGACTAAACTTTAGTTTCTCTAAATACAGAATGGGTACAGTAACTAAACTTCCTCTTAGCTCTAATTGCTATGTGAAATCTTTGCTTAAACTGGAAAATAGGAAGCTGACACAATCAAAGCTTTAATGTCACTTTGATTTCTGAACCCTCCTGGGCAGATATATCAACACACATGCACAAATACATTGGGCCACACAATTCTTTTTGGCTCTCTTCTTGGAAGATTTGCAAATTCATTTTTCCTTTGCCCCTGTCTATCAAAGGTGAACAGTAGTGGGAAAAAGAACACCAGTCATTATGTCATAAATACCATGATGAATTAGGAATAGAGGAGCATGCATAAGGGGACGGCATTATCATCTAGTAAGGAATGAGCAATAAATTTACCCAAATTTCATCTTCATAGAAAAATCAAATCATATAACTTAGACCAACTTTTTTTTA